CCCCCCCATCCCATCCCACACACACTGAAGGGTGGAGGGTTCGATTCCAGGTTAAGGGCATGTACCTGGGTTGTAGGTTCCATCCCAGGCCCGGTGGGGGGGTGTGTGGGAGGCAACCAATCGATGTCTCTCTCTTCCCCCCTCCCTCCCTTCCATTCTTCTCTAAAAATCAATGGAAAAAATATCTTCAAGTGAGGATTTACCAAAAAAAAGAGAGAAAGGTACTTTTCAGTTAAGTCAAAGAAGTGAGAGTGCTTTTTGAAGAGATTAAGGATGTAAGGGATTTTATTTACCACAGAATGAGGGTTGAAGCAGACATTGGACAGATTTGAGAGGAAGGAAAGCAGCCAAAATATCAGTCAGAAAAGAGGAAACAAGTTTATGGAAATATTTACTGAGCACCAATTACAGGGGTGGGCAACAGTAGGTTTACAGTTGTGAGTACGTGAAACAGTTTATTCTTGTGTTATTAATTATTGTATTATTTATTTGTATTACAACTGTAAACCTACTGTTGCCCACTCCTGTATAGAGCGCCCTGTTGGTTACTGAAAAAGGGCTGATTCTGTAGTGTAGTGCCAAATGAATTAACTACCAAGGGACAGAGATTGTTAATATTATCATAATATATTTCTGAGAATTAAGATGAAAAGCCATGATCAGTTATCTTCTTTAAAATGTTGGGGTTTTAAAGTTTAAAGAGATTAATCAAAGAACTTATATGCATAAATGCATAACCCATGGACACAGATAATAGTATGGAGAAGGCCTGGTTAGGGCAGATGCAGGATGGACGGGATCAATGAGGGGACACAAAAGGGGGACATCTATAAAGATAAAGATAAATTTAAAAAATAAAGAAAATTTAAAAAATAATAATGAATTTGGAGATCTTAAGTTCTGGTAGTGGTTAGCATAGTAGAAGTCAAATTGCAGAATGGCATTCTAATATTTAGTATAAAATTGAACAAAATATCATTTCTGGTTTCATAAAATGATTTTTTTCTTTCAAATTCCAACTTTGTATAATAAATTTGGATGCAACTTTGAGTTTTATTTTTAAACTTTCAGGTATTGGTGGTATAACTCAATGAGATAATGACTTTTTGCATTATTTATGATAGGCACATATATTTCTAGAACTTGCCAGCTGACTTAAGGATATGTGTAAATAGAACTTGAAATTCAGCTTATAATTTTATTTTCCAAAGGAATTTGACTTTCTGGAAAATAATTCTAGGATTTTTTAATTTCTTAACATCCTTTTATATTGTAAGTTAGAAATGTTTATAGGTAGCATACAAATATAAATGCAGCCTGGCTGCTATAGCTCAATTGGTTGAACATCATCCCATGCACCAGGAGGTCGCAGTTGGATTCCTGGTCAGGGCACATGCCCAGGTTGTGGGCTCTATCCCCAGTAGGGGTCGTGCAGAAGGCAGCCAATCGATGTTTCTCATCGATGTTTCTCTCTCTCCCTCTCCTTTCCACTCTCTGAAATCAATAAAAAATAAGTTTAAATGCAAGTAATTTTTAAAAATAAGAAAAAAGGATTGTTAAATGGGATTAATGTAAAATAAGTATGCTGCACATTAGATTCGCTGAAGAAATAGCACAGTGTGGCCTGGCGGTTAGGTATGTAAGTACATGCATATTTGAAACTTTTGTTGGTTTCTAGTTATTGCCTTCTGCTGATGCAGTTCAACCATTTCAGTACCCTTGTCTTCTGGTAAGAATGTATGAATATGTAAGTGTGATATTAAAGTTATATTAGACAAAATTAGAGGTTTAAAAGGACACACTGTCTACCCCCCTTCCCCGTGTGTAGGTGATGTTGCTTTTTAAAAATAATTTTAGCCCTGGCCAGTTTGGCTCAGCAGTTAGAGTCTCTGCCCTTGGACCGAAGGGTCTCCGTTCAACTCCTGTTCAAGGGCATGTACCTGGGTTTCAGGTTTGATCCCTGACCGGGGGTGTGTGTGGGAGGCAACCAATTGATGTGTCTCCCTCAGTCACATCGATGTTTTTCTCTCTTTCTCTCTTCTTCTCCCCCCTTCTCCCTCCCACTCTCCCTAAAAATCAATGGAAAAAATATCCTCGGGTAAGGATTAATAACAAAAAAATACTTTTATCTTAAGACATTTCCATTTTCTTTAATAACATATGTCACTGTTTGGTAATTTTTCTGCTTCACATCGCACTCTGCTCAGTTCTTGCTGTTTGGGAAACAAGTGGCTACTGCTTTCTGTAGTTGAAGACTTAAGGTTTATATTTTCCTTTGTTTAGTCTCTTCTGTGGGTAACAGATGCTTAATTCCTCCTTTATCCTTTTTTATGTCTGTTTTTAGACATAGTTTTGAAGTAGAATATGTATATTTCTGATTTTTATTAAAGAAAACTGTAAATGTGTACAAAGTAGAGAGAATAGTTTGAATCCCATGTACCTATCATCCAGCTTAAAGAGTTAGCAGTAATTTATTATTAGTATTTTAAATAAAATTAAGACATTTTATTCAGAGAATTTTAATAATATTCTCTTGTTTTCCCATAGGTGGTGCTTTGTAAATTTCACTCAGTATTTCTGTCTCAGAAAGGGCAGGTCTATACTTGTGGTCATGGTCCTGGAGGACGTTTAGGCCATGGAGATGAACAGACATGCTTGGTAATTGAAATGTTTAGGTAACTTTAGTAAAACTTTGATAAACTGGAAGCTTTTATTAACTAAAAAATTTGTTTTAACCAGCTATATGGAGAAAATAATGTACCAATTGGTAATAGACTTTTTAATAATCAATAATTTTTTGGTATATCATGTTCAAATTAAGGATTTAGATACAGTGCAAAATGATAAAGCATCAAGGAAAAAATTTTCTTACAGCAAATATTGGGAAAGGGACTACTGGTATGTTTACCGTAGATTAAAGAGTGCTTTAAAAAGGAGAGCTGTTATCATAGCTTCCTTTTTTAAGGTTTATTATATTCTAGGCATTGTTCATAAAGCCTTAACAGCCCTGTGAGGTTATAGGCATTATTATTCTCATTTTATAAATAATGACAATAGTAATAGCTATCATTTATTGATTGTTTACTCTGTGCCAGAGACTATTGTGTTTTATACTTACCAAATCATCTACTCCTAACACCAATACAGTTATCATCTAAAATACTTTTATTGTTTTGTGTTCAGCTGAAGGAAGTGAAATACAGAGAGGTTAAGAGATTTAATTGAGATCAAATAGCTAGTAAATGTCTCATTGAAAGGATGGATTGTTTCCTGTATTTTTATTTATTCAATACACCAATGAATTCTTTGGCTGAAGAGCTCACTTATTCATACCAAACAAATTTGCACTTGGTGTATAATAAGGGCTCAAAAATCATTTGTTGAATTAAATTATTTTATTGAAATGTCTTAACTGGGGTTTTGTGTTTTACTAATAAACCAGTGTCTTAAACTCATCTACTCCTTGGTGAATTGTAGAATTTATCATGATAGAGACATATACCAGTCATGTCATTTTAGGCATAGTATCATCAAATTCTACTTGTATTTCTATAAAAATTATACTAAGTTAATTTTATTTTGTAGGTCCCTAGGCTTGTGGAAGGGCTGAGTGGTCATAATTGTTCCCAAGTGGCAGCTGCTGAGGATCATACTGTTGTATTAACTGAAGATGGATGTATTTATACATTTGGTCAAAATACTTTTCATCAATTAGGAATTATTCCTCCACCTTCCAGTTGTAATGTACCCAGACAGGTAAACTTTTATTTTAAACAATAAGGTGATTATTTGCTGTAAACCTGTATGGACAAAAAGATGGACGGTATTGACAGAGCAGGTTATTTTACTTATATTCACTAATATTTTTCAAAGGAGAAACTAAGCATAGTACAAATTAGCATTTGTTTGGAGTAAGAAAGAGAGCACTTGGGAAATTAGGCACCAAACTGCCTTAGATTAACTTCTAAGTATTCATAAGCCAAGGGGGACCCAGAATTTTGGGGTTTAAGGCCCTCTTTAAAAACACCAAACACCAAGTCCTGGCCTGTGTAGTACAGTGGTTAGAGTGTTTGTCTTTGCACCAAAGGGTTGCAGGTCTGATCCCTGGCTCTGTTCAGGGCTTGTGTGGGAGGCAACAAATCAATGTTTCTCTCTCACATCGATGTATTTCTCTCTTTCTACCCCTTCTCCCCCCTTCCTCTCCCCCCCCTCT